CAGCAGCAGCAGCTGCTGCTGCTGCTGCAGCGGCAGCAGTTGGCTCCGCGTGCTGCAGTAGGCCGCTCTGCATGCAGCCTGGGGGGCCCCGCTTCGCTGCGGACGAAGGCGGGGCCCCCCGCAGGCTCTGAGGCGGCCTTTCCTGCAGAGTCGCCGCAGCGGAGTCCGCGGCTTTCGCTGGAGGCCTTCAAGCTTGAAGTGAGGAGAAGAAGCTGCAGCAGCAGCAGCAGCAGAAGGACAGAACAGCCTTTGCTGCTGAGCTCGGGCTCCACCTGCAGCTCCCTGGCCTCGAGGAGGCGGCCCTGGACATGCAAGTAACAGTCCACGGAAGCTGCTGCTGCATGCAGCCAGCAGCTAGTGGGCCGTTTGCTGCTGCAGCGCTGCAGTGCATGCGCAGCCAGCCGTGCGAGGCTGAGGCTCGCGTGTTTCCTGTGCTGCTCGCTGTCTCGGAGGATCGTGCAGTTTCTGCGGTGCTGCTGCGCAGTTAATGAGTGAAAAATTAAAATATATCTCGAAATGTATTTATAACTGGCTATGAGATTTGCTTTTTAAAGAAAGTGGCGTAGTTAGTAGTGAGTGTGAGAGTCTGCAACTTCACAGGCGTGGAAAGCAGCAGAAAGAAGACCACGGCGCCACTTCCGCTAGACTGGCCACCGCGGGGCGAAAATTGTGGCCTTGAGGCCTTAAATATATATTAAACAGTGAATTGAAATGCAGAGAATTAAAAGTGTTTCTGCAAATACTGCAGCCAGCTGCACGAGCCCTTCTCGGTCTTGCGCGGTGCTGTGTACGGTGGTTTACGTATTGCAGGCCGGGTGGACCACTGGTCACGCGCCCGCGGACAGGTAAGCACTTGCAATATTTCCCAAGGACTCAACAGGTTAATTGATAAGAGTTAATTCCCTTAAGAAGTGGAGAAGGGCAAAAGTGTGAAGGCAGAGGGCCCCTGTGGCCGTCGCTCACGCCGAGCACAGCCCCAGCGGGCACCCCCTTCAGCGGGTCGATTGTGGCAGCAGCACTCCGTTGCTTCGAAAGAGAACCTTCTCGTCTTTTTGGTTTCTAAGTCCTAAAGCAAAGGTATTTGGCAGCTTTCTAGGGGCCCCAGTTGGTCTCTTTCGGCTTTTTGCTGGCGAAGTGGGTCGCGTTCACTTTGTCTGGCAGTCCGTGCACAGGGCACTGAGACAGGGGCGTTCATCTCTGTGCGCCTTTTTATGCTTTATTGCACTGAGACCCCTTCATAAGGTCTCTTTCTTGTCTTTTCTGTGTTAAGGGAGCCACGAATTGGCAACAGCTCCTGCCATTCTTTTTCTCGGCGGGCCGGTCTTCCTCGCAGCAGCAGGCGCGACTCGCAGCGAACTCCGCACGCTTCCCCCGCTGTCTCGCGAGTTCTTTTTCAAATTACTTTTAATTTCAAGAAAGAACTCCCGAAGGAAAGCTGGGCCCCCCCGGGCTTCGGTCTTAGTCTATTTTTCGTGCATCCGCGCCGCACGGCCGGCTTCCTGCTTTTTCAAGCGTGTGTTGTTTCTTTATTCCTTTTTTTCGCGGACTCCGAGGCTCCGCGGGCAGCAGCAAGCAGCGCCTCGAGGGGCCAGCCTCTTCTCGCAGCAGCAGCTGGCAGCAGCAGCGGCAGCACCAGCAGCCGGCAGCAGCAGCAGCTGGCAGCAGCAGCTGGCAGCAGCAGCAGGCCCCGAGGGGTCTTCGAGTTATGCGAAGTGGCCCCCGACTCTCTGCGCGATGGGGCGTCGGCGGGGCCTATTTTTGAGCTTCGCGGTGGCCTTGGCCTGCGGAGGAGCCTTTGCGCCCGCGGGCGCCCCAGCTGCTGCTGCTGCTGCTGCTGCTGCTGCAGCAGGCAGCAGCACCCTGGGGGACCTCTCTGTGCGCGAACTCGCCAAACGCCTCTCCGTCACTGCTGACGAAGAGACCCTCAGCAAGTGGCAGACCGAAGTGGACAAAGCCGTCGCGGACTTCCAGGCGGAGCAGCGCCGCGGCTACCCCTGCATGCCCACGAGTGCGTGCTGCTCTCCTGCTGCTGCTCTTTGCTGCTGCTCTTTGCTGCTGCTCTTGGCGGTTGCTGCTGGCTGCTGCTCTTTGCTGATGCTGGTGGCTGCTGCTGTTGGCTGCTGCTGTTGGCTGCTGCTCTTGGCTGTTGCTGCTGGCTGCTGCTGTTGGCTGTTGCTGTTGGCTGCTGCTGTTTGCTGCTGCTCTTGGCTGTTGCTGCTGGCTGCTGCTGTTGGCTGTTGCTGTTGGCTGCTGCTGTTGGCTGCTGCTGTTTGCTGCTGCTCTTGGCTGCTGCGCTGCTGCTGTTTGCTGCTGCAGTCGGCTGGGAGTGCAGCACCAGGGGCGCTTAGGGGGGCTGGCTTTGCTGCTGCGCGTTCTGCTGCAGGGCAGTCGCTGCACTCCTCCGCCTTCTTCTCTCTGCAGGAATTCCCAGGCGAAGAGTTTCAATTCCTAAAAGCCCTTTCGCCGCAGCTCTATGAACTCCAGGCCAACAGCAAACACGCCAAGCACGTCGTCGACGCAGATGTCTTCTTCAGGGAGGCGAAAGTCGTGGAAGGTGAGCCGCAGCACGCGCGCTGAGGAGCTGCTGCTGCTGCAGCTGCTGCTGCTGCTGCCGCAGCTGCAGCGGCGGCTCACACGGGGCGCTTTAATTTGGTTTGCCACTTTGAAAGTGGAGAGTATTGAGTGAAGTGTTGTTCCTTTTGCATCAGCTGCTGTTTGCTGCTTCTGGCTCTTTGAGTTTTGCTGCTTCCTGCACTTATGAGCTCGACTAACAAGTATAGGTGCTTGACATTAGTAGCAAAATATGCATTTAATTTGAAAGACAATGGCAGAACAGCATTACTTTGAAAGACAAGTTAGAAATTGACGATTAGAGTTTTGCTGCTGCTGCTGCTGCTGCTGCGGCTACAGACCCGCTGAAGGACGCGAACGGAATGGTGGAGAGGGTGGAGCTGCTGCTGTCGCGGCTGAAGGCTGTGGGGCCGAAGCTGCGGGCCGACGTGGACGCAATGGCTGCGAAGTCTGCAAAGACTTTGGAGTTTTTGAAGCAGGGAGTTGCTGCTGAGGACCTGCAGCTTCTCGAGAGCTTCGAAAGCAAGGCCGCGGCAGAGCTCGAGGCCGCAAAGAAGGTGAGAACCCTTTTCCCGCTGCTGCTGCTCTTCGCAGCCCCGCGCGCTCCTGCTGCTGCTGCTGCTGCTGCTGGTGCTGCTGCTGCTGAGCGCCTTAGCAGCGCTGCAGCGGAGGCGCCGCAGCGGCCCCCGCGGCGCGCCCGTGTCCCGTCCTAAGAACCCCGCCGCCGCTCTGCTGCTGCTGCTGCTGCTGCTGCTGCTGCTGCTGGTGC